AAAAGGAAGTTAGAAAAAAAGAAAAAAGAAAGAAAAAAAAAAAAAGGAGTAGGGTGGAGTGGAGCAATGGAAAGGTCAAAAGGAAAGGAGAGGGAGAAGGGACGGAGAGAGGCATGAAAGTCGTGAGAGGATGGCAAAAGTATGGAGATATGTCCATGTGAGTCTGGAAAACCTCTATTCAACGCACCCAATGCGTTTACTTTTGCTTCGCCCCACCTCCTCCTCGCTTGTCATCTCTCTTTTCATTTCAACTCCAAACTCCAAACATCCCTCGCTCCCATTTATTCTACTACTAACTCTGCTTCATACTATTACTCCCCCCATTTTGATTTACAAGGGTACTTTCATATTAACAAGATTTATTATATATACTTTACAAGATTATTTTTTCAAATAAAAATATTAACTGTTTGTGGTTAAACAACAAATATCATACGTGCCAGAGATGTTGAGTCTCAATAGATAATGAAAAGGGTCCCAAGTTCCCTTATTACAATTCGCTCGCATGTAAAAAGATAAAAAGTTTTGGTAGAATAAGTATATAATTTTATTAAAATATAGAAGATTACATACTAAAAACTAACAATTGAAAAGGGCTAATGAATGTAAAATGTGCGAGTCTTGATTGAGTGTTGACTAGCTTTCTCTATTTTTTTTCCTATTTATATGTCGAATAGCAAAGCTTTTTCCTTGAGACTTAACACGTTCTTCTGAAGAATCAAGAATCTCTCGAAACTTATAGTACGGTCTTTGCATTTTAATAACCAGCCTGTTTCATCGAACTATTCAGGCACAGATTTCAGCATTACTTTAGGGTTGTGTTTCTTACCAATGGTCTGATATTTTAAACTGACAAAATTTTAGCATATTTATTTGTTGTGACATTATCGAGCTTCGAGGCCGACCCCTTTTGTTTATATTGAGTTTGACGTTTCGATTATTCAGCCCAACTAATCTTGTGACCTATTTAATTAACGCTTCATATTTAGCCCAAACATGAACTTTTAAAAATATCCTTTATTTAATATTTTATTTATAAAAAATATTAAATGGAGAAAATAAAATAGAAGTGTTAATATTATAAAAGTGATATTAATAATACCTCATTTTTATTAAAATTTTTTATATTTTGAAATATCAAGTCTTCCTTAAAAATACTTTATAATTTTGAATGAAGATAGTACTCACTTTTATCTTTTTTATAATGCATTTCTATTCGTCCCATTGGAGTCATGAAAAATTTAAAGTTCATTAGCTCTACTTAAAAATTAAATAAATTTTTTTATTTTGATTTTGTTCTTATTTAAACCCGTTAAGTGTGACTTTGGAAAAAAAATTAGCTAACATTGAATACTCCCTCTACACCGCCATATAAGATATTTTTAAAAAACCACATTTGATCGACAATATAAAGTACTGGGTGGTGCTTATAATTCTTTTCTTAATTATATCACTACTTTATTTATTATTTTCATCTTAAGAAATGTCCATTAAAATTTAATTATATTATTTAAATATTTATATGGAGTATTTAATGTGAGTGTAATTAAAAAGATATATGATCTTTAAAAGAGTTACTAGTTTATAACTTTTTTAAAAGACATGGAATAATTTCCCATTGGACCATAATATATATTATTATTAATTAATTTACAATTTAACAAATGTTAGTTAAAATTTTATTTTTTAAAAAATGACATATTTTTTTTTATTTAAGCTTTTAATTTTTTTAATAACACGTGTCGTAAAAAGGAGAGCACATAAAATTTGCCCAAGAAAGTGGGTCAGGGATTCGAGCCGCGAATTAAGGCTATGTTCTGTGAAATCAATAATCACACACATGCTGTCCTTTTTAGTTTATGGCAGTCTCAGGACCCTCCCACTCCACTCTTCTACTATTACCACCCTTTCTCTTGATTGAGAATTGAGATAAAACCATGTGCCCTTCTCATATTTTTGTCGGGTCGGATCACCCATCCCACTCCCAGCTCTAGTCTATGCGCGTGCGTTTCACGCTCCCTTTGCTCCGTAAACAAATCATTGATGGGGTGAAAAACGCAAATTAAATTAATGTTGGTGGGCCCGTCTCGCCGTTGGGGGTCTCGGGTCTGCAATGCAACTTGCGATGTTCGTCCGAAGACGACCACTTTCGGCCCTCTCCCGTAGGCCCTCCTTGCTTACTCCACCAACTTAATAAAATAGACGAATTTACACGTGGTTTTGCATGTTGGATAGAAAAAGCTTGACAAATAGCACTCCCTTCTTTCTCCTGTCAGCATCAGATGTTTCGATTAAAATAATTTATTAATTTCACCTTTAATTAAGAATACCTTTAAAACATCTTATTATTTACGTCTTGGATTTTACAAGATTTTTTTTTGAAAAAATAATCGTATAATATTGAATGGGAGAAGTAACTCATGTTCCTAATAATTTAGAATACTTTATAGTACATTACGAAATGCCTGATTTAATTGATAGAGAGAGTTGACTCGTATTAAAAGTTAAATTCTGTAATATGCGCGTAGAAATTATTGCACCTCAGATAGTAGGTAGATTTTTTTTTTCTTTTAAGACGGCAGCCAACCAACTACTAATGCTAATGCAATCTTGAATAAGCAAATTTTTTTAAACTCATTTGAAACACTTATATGATTGAACTCAGGCCATATGCAAAGTGCTTTTTCTAGCAAGACAATTTGCAACTTTGTTCATTGTTTTGTAAACACGAGATATCGAGACCTACCATTCCCATTTCCATTTGAGAATAAACCTTGTTTCTTCAATGAGTTCCTCATCATCATGTGTACTGATGTCTCCAACCTTCATGAGATCCATTGCTTCCAGGGAGTCGAAAGCAATCACCAGCTGTTGCATGCCCGTATCCCAAGCGTGTTTCGTGCCCATAAGTGTAGCCCATAGTTGAATTTTCCATGATGACCCCTATACACCTTACCACATCCTCCATATTTCATTTGATGAGAAAAGGACCCATCAACGTTCAGCATATAACACAGTCTTTAAGAAGGGGTGACTATGTATACACAGTGCTTTTTAAACATATGCTGGTCGAGTCCAAGATTTTTTTTTTTTTTAATGGGGGTGAACGCTTTACATGATAAATCTCAACGTGTTTGCATCACTATCGGAGTGACGCGTCAAAAAAAAAAATCATGTTACTATTTATGGAGCATCTTACTTTGGCAATTTAAAATGAAGTATATAAAAATTACAAAATAATCTAAGAATACAAGATAATGAATTTTAAACAATATTGTTATGTAATAAATACATAATGATTATCAATTCACTCATCACATACATTAAGTGATTAAAAATTAGGTATTTTTATTTTTAGTATTCAAAAACATGAAATAAAAATAAGATACATGATGTAAAATGGCGAGTATAAAGGGAAGAGAAAGAGGAGGAGAAGAGAGAGGGCCAAGACCCGTACAGACGCTTTTTTAAATATTATTTAAAAATTGAATATAAATTAAAAACTTGACTCTATATATAAAGTTTTAAAAATAATTAAATAATAATAATTTAAATTGAAAACTATATCCTAAATATAACTCAAACATTAAAGATGTTGAAATCTAAAATAACAATAAAATAAATAAAAATTTTTAATTTTAATAGATAAATATTTTTATTTAAACATTCATAATGGATAATTTTAATATTTTAAATAAATTTTAATTAATTTTTGTCCAATATTTCATCATTTGATGTAAAACATGAAGGACAAAGGAGAAAAGGAGAGAAAAAAAAAATTTTTGGACAAAAAAAGAAGAGAAAAAGACAGAGAGATAGTAGACAAGGGAGAATTAGAGAGAAAGGAGAAATTTAAAAATAGAAGAGAATTCAACGTTCAACTCAAGTTAATCGGAACTAATCTGATTACAACTAATAAAGTTTAAAACTATTTATAAACTCATAAAAATATTAAAAATAATAATAAATTAAATTTTAACATAAAAGATAACAATGATAATCCAGATTTATATTTTTAGATATCCTATTCATTGAAAATAAAAAATTTAAAATGGTCGTGGTAAAAAGATATAATTAAACCCTACATAATTTAACAGATATTTAATATCTTTATTTAAACAATCCTAATTAAATAATCTTAAACATTTAAAATAAAACTAATTAAATTTCATTCATATTTTATAAATATAGTAACTTTTTGTCAATTTAAATTATATAATACTTATTTTTTTTTATTTTTCATATTTATCATTTCATTCAACGGAGCTGCAGGACAAGACTTTCCGATTCAGCAGAGAACAAAAGATGATTGTCGTTTTATGCAGAGTGGTCCACGCTTAAGTGAAAACGCAGAAGCATAAAGGTGTCAAAGAAAAAGATCATGCCAATTCCTTGCCTGGAATAATTTTCAAAAGAAAAATTAATTGATGGTGACATGATACCTTAACTGCTTGTAAACTTCAAGACATGAAAATTATAAAATATTTTATGACTGACCGTAATTTTTCTTCCAATACATATCAGTTTCAACTCGTGATAATTTTCTGAATCACACATTTATTAATTAAAGAAATATAAATACTTTTATGAAAAACATAGTCAATGAAAACATGAGAGAAATAGTTTGTTATTTATACAACCTCATCATGCTTTGTCAAATTTCAAAAATAATATTAAAATTTAAAAATAAAAATATGAAATAGAAACACCTTATAACTGAATCAATTTTATTTTTCTAAAAAAAAATTTTAGGAGAAATTACAGGAGAGAGCACTAAAGTTTATTAATAAGAGTAGGAGAGTTAATTTATTTATTTTTTTAAAAAAAGAGTGGGAGAGTTAAGCGACGGCACCAACTCGCGCCTAAAGATATTGCGTCGCGCGTGGTTCTGTTATTTCCACTGTCACACATTTTAAACCTTCGTAATATTTTTTTATCTGTTTTGGCCAAAACCACTTGTTTTAAGTCCCTGGGGCTATTCCTTTCCACCCTATTTCTGATTCTCATCGTTTTTTTCCTGCGTCTCTGCCCATCTTCATCATCATCAACCAAAATGTTCCTTTTCCTTTGATGAGATTGGTGCGTCTATCATTTCTATCCTCCCTCAGATTTATATTCTTCTTCGAGTGCTTTCCCTCGGCAATATATTTTGATTAAGTCTCTCTCTGAGGCTACTCCGGCCTCTTGTTCTTTTCCCGAATGTTCCTTACAGGGTGTCCTGACGAGACCATATCCGGCTCTCTGAGAGCTGCTCTCAAATCTTAGGCTTTCGTGGCTGTAGACGAAGGACAGCAGAAGCAAGTTTTCCTTCAAACTCAGGTCAATTCGGTCAAGCTTTCCCATTTTCTCCCTGCTTTTCGCTTCCGTAGGATGATCTCAGGAATGCTTGAGTCACGCTATGACTATTTATTTATCTGCATATTTATATATTCTACCTTCTCTTCTATCTCTCCTTTTCTTTTGTGAAGAACGCCATAGCAATATCTGGTTGAATGGTTTTAACCCGGATTTTTCGCTTGGGTGATAAGGGCACTGATTACGGAGAAACGCAGAACAAAGGTACCAGAAACAACCTCAAATATTTTGCGATTTTTGGGATTCCACAATGATTCGATTGATGCATCCCTTCGAGTTTCGTCAAGCAGGCAATGATAATTATTTGGGATGAAAGATGCTAGTTTTGATCTGGGTTTTTGCTGGAAGGAAGAAAAGAGGTTCTGATACAGTAATTAGAAGCAGCAAATAGAGGGGCTCTTAGGTAGGTGAATTCAATGGCAACGTCCGCGGTGCAGCTTCCAGCTGCGCCAGCAAGCACCCCTAGGAAGAAAATGACCAAACAGTTGACAGGAAAGCGGGATGATAGCCCCCTACACACCGCAGCTAGATCAGGAAATATGGCTGTTGCGAAGGAGATCCTTACGGGCACTGAAGAATCTGAACTCAATGTATTGTTGGCTAAGCAAAATCAAGCTGGAGAAACAGCTCTTTATGTTTCTGCTGAATATGGTTATGTTGAATTAGTTTGCGAGATGATTAAATATTACGATCTTGCCAATGCTGGAATTAAAGCTCGAAATGGTTTTGACGCATTCCTTATTGCTGCCAAACAAGGCGATTTAGGTATTAACAAATGTTAAAGCTTGGCTGCTTGTTCTTTGTGGACTGTGTGGTATGCAATATAGAGGGAAACCTTACTTCTGTTTGGCCTGTTGCAGATGTACTGAAGATCCTCATGGAGGCTCATCCTGAATTATCAATGACAGTAGATCCATCAAACACCACAGCTTTGCACATGGCAGCAACCCAGGGGCATACAGAGGTGGTGAAATTTCTATTGGAAGCTGGAAGTAGCATAGCGACCATTGCCAGAAGTAATGGGAAAACAGCCCTACATTCTGCTGCAAGAAATGGGCACTTGGAGGTTGTTAAAGCGCTACTGGAGAAGGAGCCTACGGTTGCAACACGGACTGATAAGAAGGGCCAGACAGCACTTCACATGGCTGTGAAGGGACAAAACATTGAGGTAGTGGAAGAGTTGATAAAAGCAGATCCCTTGTCAATTAACATGGTTGACACCAAGGGAAACACAGCTTTGCATATAGCTACCAGGAAAGGCAGGGCTCAGGTAAATTAGATTTTGCTTTTCTTCGTTCTGCCTAGTTCTCACAAAAAGCATTACATTGATTATAGCAACTGGTGACTGCCTCCAGCTTGAAAAATTTCTTCCAGATCATTGATGTGATTCCATCCATGCGTTTTGTTGATGAAAACTGCGAGTAAAGTAAATATCTTAATCTGTGAAGGAAGTGGAAGTCCAAAATGTTTAATAACATATGATGGCACATTTAAAGTAGTGTTGATGTCACATTCTAAACTTGTTTATGTGCCTCTGTTTGGCATGGACGAGCATGTCCAAAGAAACTGATTGGTAGGACTACCAAAGGCAGTTGTGCTCCAATGTTTCTCTGAATACATCAGCCATTAGTTTTGGCTAAATAAATTGATTAGCTGATTTACAATGTTTGACAGTACTGTTGTTCTGTTGGAACTTTATGGACCTCATAAAGGCTGACAATCTCGAACAAGTTTCAGTGGAAGGAAGTCAGGAAAAGAACCTTCCTTCTGGGGCATAAGATCTTATTAGACATCTAGAATGCTGGGTTAGATGAATCACCAGTAAAAACAATGAAATATTAGTGTTGCATTCCGGTTAAAAGGACTTCAGCCATCCTAATCTAGTGTAATGGGTCCAGTCCCGAATAATCTACACCGTCGTTCAACCCAGCTGAACTGCTCTGCAATTATAAAGCAATGTGATTGAATAAAACAACTCAAGTTGGGGAAATTTTTTACATAGTATATGTTTCACGGATGTTGGTGACAAATCCTGGTTTGTGTTTGTGCAGATTGTTAAGATGCTTCTTGGATGGAGGGAAACAGACAGAACGGCGGTGAACAGAAGTGGTGAGACAGCAATTGACACTGCAGAGAAAACTGGGAACCCTGAAATTAAAGGCATTCTAGAAGAACACGGCGTCCAGAGTGCCAAGAACATAAAGCCTCAGTCTGCTACAAACACAGCACGTGAGCTGAAACAAACAGTGAGCGACATAAAGCACGAGGTACATTACCAATTGGAGCACACACGCCAAACCAGAAAACGAGTCCAAGGCATAGCCAAACGTCTGAACAAGATGCATGCAGAAGGACTTAACAACGCTATCAATTCCACAACTGTGGTGGCAGTACTAATTGCCACCGTTGCCTTTGCTGCCATATTCACAGTTCCCGGCCAGTACGTTGATGACCCGACAGATGTACCTCCGGGAGAGACCTTGGGCGAAGCAAACATAGCTCCTCAGGTTCCATTCATCATATTCTTTGTGTTTGATTCCATAGCGCTCTTCATTTCTCTGGCTGTGGTGGTGGTGCAAACGTCGGTGGTGGTTATAGAGAGCAAAGCAAAGAAGCAGATGATGGCCATTATAAACAAGCTCATGTGGCTGGCCTGTGTGCTCATAACGGTGGCGTTCTTGGCGTTGTCATTCATAGTGGTGGGGAAGCATGAGAGGTGGCTGGCAGTAGGAGTGACCATCATAGGGACCACGATAATGGCGACGACCTTGGGGATAATGTCGTATTGGGTCATTAGGCATCGGATTGAGGCCTCCAATTTGAGGAGCATTAGGAAATCTTCTCTGGGAAGCAGGTCCAGGTCTTTTTCAGTGTCGGTCATGTCAGATTCTGAGCTGCTAAATAAAATGTATGCCATTTAGGAGCATCCAATACATGTTCCCAGTGTTCATGCGCTCGATCTGCTGGATTATTTCTATATCCACAGAACAGAAAAAAAAAAAAAAAAGGAAAGTTCCAGATGTTTGTTTCCGGACTTGGCTTATGAATGTCAATAGCATGCCCAATCAACCACTGCCTGTTGCCGTATCTGCCTATTTGGGATATGAAAATTGCGGCCATTCATATCACTGCAATTCTCGCGCCGTAGAATTAGCTTGCAAACAAATTCTTATCTTATGAACAAACTGAACGTCTGTTTTTTTTTTAATCTTTTTCCTTAAATATATTAGAAATATTTTTTATTGACAATACACACTAATCACAATCAAAATATTGAAAACAAAAATTAGATCGATTCAAATTAGACTTATTTGATATCCAAATATTAAGGATCGTCAAGTTTCCTACCATTTTTACGTAATACGTTGTATCAAATTTAAGAAATAGTAGAATTAATCACGAAATTATAATGTAGTTGTACATGAAATCTGTTACATTTTGATTGAATACTACAGGAAATTGAACATTTATTTGCCAAATATCTCTTGGCCGGGAATGAGAACCAACATAGTTGACTTGTAGATTGGGGCGTTCATGTCTCTTTCCAAGTAACTTTTATCGTTTTATTACCAAAACTGTTTCTAAAAAAAATTAAGATATTCATCTATTTGTTTTAGCTTTTTTAAAATAAATTTTGGAAAAAAAATTTAAAAAGTTTTAAATTATTTATTCAAATTTGTAAAAATAATCAAAAATAAAAAATAAATCAAATCAAATATCTAATTCTTTAAATAAAGTTAAAATATACTTTTAGTCCTCTAATTTTATAAAATGTTTAATTTGATTCTTTAATTTTGTAAAACATTTTTTTAATTTTTTAACCCTAATATTATGAGTTTCAAATAATTTTGTGTGCCAATTATTTTTATTTTTAAAAAATTAAACTTTATATGCTAACATTTAAAAATATTTTATCAATACTTAAAAATTTAATATAAAAATTTATTGCGATAAAACTAACAGTATTAAAATTAAAATACTAAAAAAATAATTTATGAAATTAAAAATTAAAATGAAATGTTGTGAAAATTTAAAAATTAAATATATTTTTTTCATTTAAAAATATAATATATTTTTAATCAAACCTCACTTCCCAATAAAATAGTTACTTACTTTCTAACTAACCATATCTTTTTATATTTATCTCTATTAAACACTCTACAATAAATATAAAGTCGTTATCAATAGGAGCACTTTTAAAAAAGGCATTGATTAAATCTCAAAAATTAAAAATATTTTATATTTTTAAATATTTAATTTCTTAAAAAATATCTTATATTTTTAAATAAAAAATATATTTAATTTTTAAATAAAAAGTATTTTTTTTATAGTTGTAATCAAACGTAAAAACACAAAACAATTGTTTCTTTTTTGACACTTTAAATAAATTACTTTTTATATAATATATATAAGTTAAAATTTAAAAATTGAGGGACACAAAGTCAAAACCATATAAATTAAATATATATATATATATATATTTTTTTCAAATGCTGACATCAGACTCGCGTGTCCCATCTATTTATTGCTCAAAGTCAATGCTGATATGACATAACGTGAATGCAAAGACGCGCAATTGCGGAATGCTTCCTACCAGTATCCGTTAATATTTTTTTATTTTTTCCTCTCATATTTTTTAAAAATAATTTAAATATTTTATTTAAAATAAAATATTACTATCAATTCAGTAATTTATAAAGTGAACTATTTTATTTTTCTAATTATGACTTATAAAGTAGACTGGAGGGAGAATTACGCCATGCATTTTGGCACCGAATGCTCATCGCCAAATCTTAACCTTTCATTTCATTTTGAGATGATGTCTATTATTTATTTAAATTAACTTTTAAATATTTTAAATATTATATTTATTAAAATAAAAAATTATAAAAAAATTTAATATTAAATCTAAACTATTTTCCTTATTAATTCAAAAATAAGTAATATGGTCTCATCACCTTTAATGAGATCTAAACCATTCACATTAAATTTAAATTTTTAATTACATTTATTATAATAAAAAATTCTTAAAAATATAATTTTTTTAATAAATTTGTTCATTACCAACTTGAACGGTACAAATTTAATCTTACAAGTCCAATTTAATATCAAATTTTTTTATAATTTTTATAACTTGATTATCCATATGCATTTTGGATAGTTCAAATTTAATTTAAATAATTCATTTTAATAATAAAAATTCTTATAATTTGTGCAGATAATTTAAATGTATTCTAGACAAATAGATTCAATATCAATTTTTTTATAATTTTTATACTAATAAATATAATATTTAAAATATGTTAAGTTTAGTTTAGTTTAAAAAGAATAGTAAAGATCATTTTAGAATGCAATGAAAGGCCAATATTTGGCCACACCTGATGAGCACTTGGTCACCGAATGCCAGCGCCGTTTTTACCCGCTCTCTGACCTCTAGTGTGGCAGTTTTAGATGTTTCTTAATTACATTTTTGATGAATTGTGCTCCAAATTTTAAAAACTAGACATGCTATTTATAATTTATTGGATCATATAACTTGTAAATTTTATTTCCAGATGTTTGATTGGGACAATCATCCCGCTCCTTGGAACCTAACATAATTGAGCTCTTTTGCTTACCTGAGAAACATAATCGAGTATGAGGATGAGGATTACACATATACTGAAAAATAAAATAATTGGATACAATAAATGCCTCCAAAATATACTTTTCCACGAGAACTCGCCCCCGCGTCTGGAGCTACTCCTCAATCGAAACTTCTGTAGACATCTCAGCACAATTTACATTGCAGTTCCCACAGGAGACCATTAGAGGTTTCTTATGCCACTGAACCGGTGTTTCAGTACATGTAACGTCACATTCGATGCCAAGCCATGGTTCTCTCTAAAAAACATTTCGTAATTGAGAAGTCCAACTACCTTCAATCAATGTCCACCTGCTAGTATAATGCAACACATGCTGGCACATACGATCATTTTATCAGGTAAGACTACATCCCGCGTGCTTTACTTCGAGCATTGCGTTACTAGTTTCCCCATGTCTTTTTATGGTTTTGGGGGAAGGCACGTATCCTGTTGTTTATTTTGGCCATAAGCCTCCAACAGATCATCATACCTTCTTTTTTCTTTTTTAAAAGGGAGCAGCCAAGAAAAGACCACCGCCACATGGTTCGGCACATTTTTGTATGCATTTGTGGTTAGTGGACAATGGGCAGTCAGCACTCAGCAGTCAATCAAAGAACTGTCTTTTAAGATAAATCGAAGGTTAACAACAACAATAATAAAAGGAAACGGGAATAAGATACTAACTCACCATTAAATAAAACACGATTGATTCACAGTAAAATGCCACATTGACAGAACACTAAATGCTGCAACAAGACTTGCGTCCTAATGAATCAAATAAACCCTTAAACTGAATTTACATTTAAAGTTTCTTTCCTCATCAATGTTGCGGCAGCAGCGGTCTCTTCTCCAACATTTCATAATAAAGAACAAAAGTATCCTGCGAGTAGGTTGTCCATTAAGGTCAAAAATTATAAAGGAAATATAATTACGGGGAGAAGGGAAATAATAAAAAGCATATATCTACAAAATCTAACCTTGCGGAGTGTTTCAAATGTGTTTGGATCAAAACAGTGATACGATCCTCTCTCATACGTGTTTGTTTTCACTAGCGGCTCCATATTAGGAACTCTTACAAACCACAAACGATGCTCTTTGTGATAAAACCAGCCTCTGTTGTAACTGATAGCAAGAAACCTACCTTGTTAGTAATTATTGCAAAGAAAAGAAATCAATTCATAAGTCCCATATACGAGGGATGACTCATCTATAGCTCTTGCACTCAAATGAATATATTTCTATCTATACTGGCTAAAGCACATGAAATCTTACAATGGAGTCTGCCTAGGAAGCAGCAAACCCCTCTTATGCTCACCAGTGTCCTTTTCATCTCGGGTGAGAAAAAAAAAAAAAATTGGATCACTCATTCTCTTGGCGGAAACACAATCTCCACTTGTCATGAGAATGCCATAGGGTTCAGAAGCAAAATTTAAAAGCATTGACTTATGAGAGAAGTAAGCTCATAAGTCTTGGACACAATTCAAAAGGTAAACCATTATTTCATGTCACAGGAACTACTCTGGTGCACAGGAGTCACATCTCATGTCCATTAGACCAGACTCTCTTTCTATCTCACTATGGGTGAAACAAGACTTTCTCTTTCATCCAAACAAAAAGGATATACAGGTTTATCAGCACAGGTTTATCAGCCTTATAACTCACAGGAACGTGAGCAATAGACAATAGATTAAAGACAAGACATTTTGGTATGATACAACTAGTCTGGCACATCAGTAGTCATTGGCACCCACAAAATGAGCATGAGCTCATGAAATTTATGCTAAAATGAACAGAAGCAAAAAAAGAATGTAAAAAGAGTCAGGAAGGCCAAAGATCATGTGGAGAATTATTATGCAAGAGAATGGGGATAGAGAATAATAAGTCAATCGAGAGAGAGAGACTCTGGTTGGCATTGATTGATTGAGACACTTTTTCCTAGTTGCAATCCATTACATAATTAGGTGGCTCTTAGTTATTAGACAGAAATAAAATCAATGGTCCAAAAATGATGTAAGAGTTTAACTCTGGCTCTGTATAAAGATTAAATGGTCAAAAGGAAGGAATGTGCTTACAGCTCATTTGCGGCATATAGTTGAGCCTCATCTTTGGGCATGCTACAAAGAAAATAATAATAATGCTTATTATAGTGGAAAGCAAATCAGTGCAGAAGTGAACAAATAATAATGCCATTAAAAACACCTGTAAAATATGTAGAACAATGTTTCCACTGTAAACTTAGAAAAATAACTTTGCTGCACCACCAAAAAAAAAAAAGTTTTAGCATAAAACAGGAAAAGATATAACCACAATGAAAATTTTAAAATGTAATGAAGAGCATCTCACATGCAGGGCAGGTGGCTGTTTAGCATAGTAACATTGTGGCACAGTGAACTCTGGATCGCCCTTAGCTGGTTCATCAGACCATGGAGACCCAAAAGTCTTGTG